TATATATATATATATTGAACTTTGCTTCATGCATGTCTCGTGCATCATGCTTTGTTGATTGCCCTAATGCATCCATCCATCCAGGTTTATGCATGTGTGTGCATGTGTGTACAAATGTCACCCACAATGCTTTTATTCATTTAAAACATTTCACAATTGTATCCAGTTTTCAATGAATTCAATTACATAATAATCCTGTTTTATATCCCTTGATATGTTCATATTGTTATTTTGACTATATTCATGTGCTGAATATGATATTATTGTAAGTGATAATGCTTGTAAGAATTTTTGCTGAATGACTATCTATCATGCTTTGCATTCCAATGGGCATCACCAGTGATGCTTGTATTATAATCTTTCCTATATTTTCACATTTGTATGGTTATATGACAAAAATTGTCAATGAAATATTTCTGCAGGTGAGTAATTATATTATGATGTTAATTTGCAGGAGTCATCAAATAGACAAGATGAGCTGAAAGAGAGAGCAAAGTTGTTGCTGGAGCAGGCAAGGCGTGATGCTGCCAAGCAAAGTGAACAACCAGAAAGTCCAGTTGACCAACCTTGTACAGAAGGGATCAGCGTAGAGGTATATCAGAGTTAATGTTACTGATGCAGTGTTGGTATTGTTGTGGTCAATAATATCCCTAAACGGAGTTCATCAGCATTAAGACTTAGAATATTGATCTATAAAGAATGTCTTGTATTATCTTTAGCATAGTATGCATGTGCCTTACCTACTGTAAAATGAAGAGAGTCAACAAGGCAAATTTATTATTTAAAAAAACTTATTCAATGCAGATTTCAGGGGCGTTATGTCACTGGTAGCGTCAGTTCTGAAGAGTTTATAGAATATGGACACCATGAAAGTACTAAATATTTATCAGGCTTTTAAAACAAAAATCATTAATATGGGGACCAACCTAGTTAAGTTGCCTATCATTGTGATGTTAAATTATTAAATTCATCCTTGCCTTTGATGTTGTAATCCTAATTAGTAGTGATGTTTTGAGTAATATTTCGTCGTGCAGGCTTCGCCGTCTGAGAAAACCACAGGGCCTAAAAAAGGCCGCGTCATTTATTTGATGTGGCTGATTTTCTCTAGACGGGGTGATTTTTTTAAACTGATGAATTATGTAAGAAAAGCTTTGAAATCTCAAAATTTGACGGGACAGGAAAAAAGCCCCGTGGACACCGGAGACTTTTTTTGGCCGATCGGCCCCGTGAAAAGGCGAAGCCTGGTCGTTCATTGCTTGTTTAGCTTTCTACGTTAATTGATGAAGTTGGGATTGGTCGAGTTTTACTTTGCCGTTACAGTAAAAACCCGCGTATAAGAACATAGATTTTAAGAACATGTTAGGCTAAAATTTCCCATTTAGACCCCTTTACATAAGAACCTGTTTTAGGCTAAGATTTTAAAGTAGGTTCTTAATTTTCCATGGTTTTTTTTTCCATTTTTTTCTCCTCCATTTTTTGGCATGTTGTTTTATTTCCTTGGAAAGATACTGTATCATACAGTATGGTAAGCACTGAAAAACTTACACTGTAGCCCATCATGGGTATTAATTAGCAAAAATTGCAGTCCTTGTAAGAACATTTTAACACAATTTGAATCAAGTATAAGCTTATACATATTAAAAGTAGAAACAATTAAGAACCTATTTAAGAACCTTTTGAGCCTAATTTTTCAGTAAGCACCATTTATATAAGAACCTATTGAGGCTAACTTGGAAAAATCTATGTTCTTATACGCGGGTTTTTACTGTACGCCTGGTGAGGAATGACGCTTACTTTCGCAAAAATGCAACTGCCTTAAATAGCACAAACAACAGATCAGACAATGATAAAGAGATAGGATTGTTTCATATCTTTGATAGATCGTTTGATCCAATAGTTTGAACATAGTTTTCATTTGTTGGCATCACCAGTGATTTATTAAATTGGAAATGTCTTTATGCCAATATTTATAAAGTGACACGTTATCGTTGTAATTGATCAAAATTATCATCAAGGTTTGGGAGCTGTGCATTAATCTTATCCCGGAACAGTCTTAATGCACATGTGGCTAATTCTATGTAGAACTGTACGGTACTGTGATAAAATGTGTGTTATTGAAGATTGAAAGTGATTGTCCCTACTTTAGAAGGACGTAGAACGACAGAAGCAGTTAAGGGAGAGAGCGAGGAAGCTGATAGCAGAAGCACGGCATGGTCTACAAGGTAGTAATACCTCGTCACCTAATGATGAGTCTCTAACGGCAAATGCTCTGTCAACAAAGCATGTCAACTCTACAGGTAAGAGTAGCTGGCAGTATTTATACATGCACTAATGTTTGTGTGTTTGTGTAGGTCTGTGTGCATGCATGCAGGTGTGCATGTGTTTGTTTGTGTGTTTTGTTATGTAAGGTTAAAAGTTCAGGAATGTCTACTTTATTTTATAATACTCTGCTTGCATTAACTTATGTTATGCTTAATAAACTTTATTACTGTGTTTCTGTAATGTTTTTGGACAAAAATATGTTTGCATGAGCATAGTTTTATTTGTATTGTGAAATTTTACATTTTACATATTCTGTATTCTGTTTTTTTTCCCATTATGATTTCTGTGTATATTATGCTTGCTTTTGATTTTCCCCTTAGGGCCAAAGTTAAAATTTTATCAGTTCAGGAAAGGTAAGTTTAATGTAATATCCCACATTTTATTGTATTAGGTAAACAAATAGCTGTATTGTTAATGCATTCTGTGGAGTTTAATCGTTTTTTTATTCTCTGTTTGCAAATCAAGACAGAACCAGTACTTTAATATTTAGCCAAATTAGCTTTGAATACATTAAATAGTTTGCACCATTTTTACTCAAAACAAACATCGTTCTGTTTTTGAAAAAAAATATATGGAATGACAACTACATATTATAAAGTTGTTATTATAACCATTGCTATGCTTATTCTATCTTTTCCATTACTAAAAATTCATATTTTAACAAAGAATTTGTCTAAACGTCCAGTATTTAACCTAAATAATAATGTCTGTAGCTTAGTGTAATAGCATATAGTAACACGTTTATAATGTCTTTGTTTGGCAGCTGGGTCAGGAGGTCAGAGCTCACCCCTGTCACCCATCCAGAAGCTGTCGTTAAAACCTGTGGGCGTATTGCAACCATCTGAACAAGATTTGAACAGTCCAACGAAAATATCTCCGAAGACGAATGTAAGTCTGCCGTATAAAAGGAAACAGAAATAAATGTGTAGATTGCAGGAATTGTCTAGTCTATTAGATTATTTGTCACTTAGAAGAACTTATTGAGCTCCTTATTTTGAGATTCTCCATTAATATATCAGATTATCTCCTTAATTGATTCAAGCTAATAGCACCAAGTATGATTGATATTACTTACCAAAATGTATAATATGTTACAGGTGCAACCGAACAAAAGACAAGGTAAGTCAGGTGAATGTGATGAATGGAGCGTGTTTTCTAAGTCACATATAGTCACTCTTTACAGGGTTCTTCCACAAATTTCAGTGCGTGATGGGTAATTGGACAATTTATCATCTAACTAATTGTCATTGTAACTAATTGACGTCAATAACACATGTCGGAAATGACCCCGATATGCAGGCAAACTATATTTGTTTGAAAATGTATACATCAAGCTGTGAAAACAAGATGACCGTGTTGAGATTATCAAAAGTAAACACAGTTGGAAATTAAGGCATGTCGATTAGGCAATTGAGTCATGTTTGATGACTTATGTGATTTTATATGTTAGGTTCAGCTTTGATGACATGTTGGATCTAACATGCATTAAAGGCCTGGGGTAAACTCTGTCTTAGATTTATCAAATTATTTCTTTCAAAATGTGTAGCATGCGAGGGTTAAAACTTCCAATTCTTACTTTCATACAATTTTTAAACAAAATGCCAATCTGAGTAAGGGCATTTCGTTTTAAATATATGTAAAAAACTTTTTACTATAGTTTGTCTGTTCTATATTGTAATAAGAAAATGTTACCAATGTAATATTGTGTATGTATTATTAATCAAATCATGAATTAATACTCGTTAAACTATTGGCATAGTACCAATTAGTACTAATTTGGTATAGTAATGTTTCCCATAAAAGCTAATTCTCATACTTGAACATATTCAGAATGTTCATGTTCATTATACATGCTGCACCTGATGTTAAACGTCTACCAATATGTTGCAATTTTACAAATAATTATCAATATTTCTAGGTAACAATACTATACTTACCTGGTTTTCAGCTATATCCCCAACAAAGACTTATAACGTTATCAAACTGAAACGACCGACGTCTCTGTCAGACGGACCCGTAGCAAGCTTTAAGCAGAGTGAGCTTCAGTCCCCAGAGGTGAGTATCATTATTATTATTATCATTGTTACTATATGATTGATGCAGGGTTTGAAATTAATGATAGTCTGTTAGTCCGAAACTATAAGATTTACCCAATTTACAAGATTTTTTTCAAGGATGAGTATAAATTGCAGTAACAACTAGTCCGGTGGACTACCTGACTGTCAGTTTCAATTTAATTTGGCACTGTCACTGTTGGTTTTTGACCAACATGGAAGAATAAAATCATAATTTAAATTATTTTTCTTTCCTGCAAGTTGTTATCACTTCATTTTAAATAAATTAGGCCACCAATATATCGAATATACTTAAAACTAGTATTTGTTGTCCTGCACTTTGATCATCTGTAAAATGGACGCAGCCAAGTTTGTTACTTATGCTATGACGTAGACGGGCTCATTTTGGCAAAACTTACACGGAATACCAAAATTCTGAACTACCAGAATTGCTGACGAATTATCAGATTACAAAAATCTAGTAGTCCATGTGACTACCAGACAAAATAGTTAATTTTGCTCCCTGATAATGTATGTCTAGTAGTAACGGTTGTCTATTAAAGTAAACATTGTCATGAACACATTTATTGATTATTTGATGATGTACCACAGTAACATAGTAGAGTATGCTCAAAAGAAAATGGATTCTAGAATAAGAGTTAGCACCCTGTACATAGAGTACACCAGACGCAGGAGAACCTGAAAATTCTGTATACACAGCTCGTGTACGTTTTTCCTGTCGGGGCAGGAAGGCATCTAGCTATCAGCACATTTACAAGCTGGCCCACCACCCGACTTGTTGGTAGCTAGCTGCGTGTGTTTGTGTACATTTGTGTCAGGTTTTCTCTCTATCTCTCCCCCCTCTTTCTGCCTCCCTCTCCCTCTCTCTTTCCCTTTCTTTTTCTGTCCCTCTCTTTCCCCTCTCTCTCTCTACCTCTCTCTCTGTCACTTTTTCTGTCTCTCTCTCTCTCTTTCTCTCTCTCTCTCTCTCTTTCTCAACGTCTCATTTTTTATATATACCTACATTACTTACACGGCCTAGTACTTTTGAATACGTATTATTATTAACTGGCAACAGTTAGTAGTTGATTCATGATTGGTAGTACTTGTCTCATCTTTCTGCTCACAGCATAGCTTTTCCTCAAAATGGCAGAGGTCTTGGATTTCACCATGTTTTGCATTTAGTTGCTCATGCCATCTATGTACAGCATGTGTGTGGAGACTGCAGTGGGTACACCATAAGGCAGTGTTTCTCCCCTGACCCTCAATTTTGCTACCCACATTCTCATCTCGGCCATCAGGTGTTATGGTGCTCCATGTGACTTATGAGCCTGTTAGGTGGGGTATGGCCCACATTCCCTTGGAAATTTCTTTAGAAGAAAGATTGAAATAATGCTATTTCCTCCATTCTGGGCACCGATAAGCTCTTACATGTTCTTGTACAATACAATCTTACATGTACAATAAAAACTATAATAAGCTGCCACATCAGTTTACTTACTGCTGTCAAACATTTATATGAGTTTTTGCCTTGAGGATCTGGGAACATGCTGCCTCCTGTGCGCAGCCACCAAAGTTACCAGTCTAAATTTCCTTGGGAAATAAATATCTCAGTTCAATGCCGATACATTGCCCACCCCCAAAAATTCACTCATGACATTGACGAACAGTAAGAAACACTGCCATAGGGTTCCACTAATGTTTAGAGACAAGATATTTTTACACCTGTCACCTATGGGAAGAACATACGCATATGTCACCATGGATACCCATAGTGGTAACTGTAACAGCCATTTTGCATTCTTAATTTAAACAGGACTTTGTGGACACTAGTCAGTATGTAAGCGGGGAGATGCTAGCACTAGAAAGAGAGATGGCTCAGATAGATGAACGTGCCACACTGGTAGAGAAAAAACTTCGTGCTGTCATGGGTAAGCTTCATGTGTGTGTATCTGTGCGTGCACGTGGGTGTGTGTGTGTGTGTGCACTTGTGATACTTAGTGTAATCTATGTATATGTTCCAGTTATGCACAGTGCTAAGAGTTAGTAGCAGTGTAAAGGTCAGATTTCGCTATGATGGTGATCTATTTGATCTTCGAAGACTGAAGTCAAAGACCAAAGTTCCTACCGAGTACATCAGGGAGGCTTAATATGCAGACGATATAGCTATATTCAGTGACACTTCAGCGGGACTACAGTTGTTACTCATAGCTTACAACGACTTTGCTAAGACGATGGGACTACGTATTAACACTGCAAAGACAGAGACCATGTGCATTGGTACTGAAGCTGAGTTCTTCATAGTTGACAACAAGTTGGCGAACGTCACCCGCTTCAAATACCTTGGCAGCTATGTAACAAATGACTGCTCTATGAAAGAGGAACTTGCAGCTCGTATCCAAGCAACATCATGTGCATTTGGTCGACTACGTCAAAGAGTGTTCAACTCACGTGACCTTACAATAAACACTAAAGTCAAAGTCTACAACCAGTGTCTTATGCCACTTCTGATGTACGGCAGTGAAACCTGGACTCTGTACCATCATCAAGTTCGACAACTGAGAACAATACAACAACGTCACCTGCGCTTAATCATGCATATTAAATGGGATCATTACATCAGTAACGAGGAGGTCCTGAACAGAGCGGGTGTTGAAGACATCGAGTTGAAGCTATTTAGAAGTCGTCTGCGTTGGTTTGGCCACGTCTGTAGAATGGATAATGACAGACCAGCAATGGCACTCCTATACAGCGAGCTAGCAAATGGATCCCGATCTGTTGGTTGCCCTAAATTGAGATATAAGGATACCTGCAAGGGTGCTCTGGGGTGTGGTAATGTTCTTGACCAGTGGAGAAATGTTGTAGACAACAGACAGGAGTGGAGAGGTCTTGTGCATACAACTTGTGAATGCTTCAACATAAAGAGAATCAAACAGTATGAAAGAAAAAGTGAACGAAGACTAAAGAATTTGAACAAAAGATGATCTATGAACTTTATAGCGATAGATATTTGTACTACATTATTATTCTGTGTAATGCCCGTTTCGGGCTCTCCCTAGGCGTATATATATATATATATATATATATATATATATATATATATATTATTAAGAGTTAGTATAGTTCCTCTATTACTTTTCAATACGCATTAGTATATAATTCTACCAGCAAGGAGCAAATACATAGTTTTGGCAGGAGTTTAAATTAATAAAAATAGGTTCTCTACCTACAGATCATGTAGCACTGAGAAAGTTTTAATTTTATTATATCATTAATATGTTATTCATGAGAGTTTCCAAGGGAAATTAAAATTGAAACATTTTTCATTAACAGGAAAGAACAAAGATGCAGAGGAAAAGTATCTGCAAGAGTGGTTCTTGCTGGTGAACAAGAAGAATGCCCTCATTCGTCGACAGGACCAGCTAGACGTGCTGTAAGTAATGCAATAGATTACGACTGTATTTACCCGACTTCAAAAGCCTGTAAACTGAAGGGTCTTTACATAACCATACCTGCACCTGAGGCGTTCTAACTTATGCGAATTGGTTAGGGCCAGCGATATTTAGGCCTGTCATTATGCCATATCTGTGTGGTTCTTTTGGGTGTCATGGGTGTATGATGCTGGGGATAGGAATTGTTTCCAGCCAATGGTGTTTAGTTGTGTTAGTATACAATAATTAATACTTATTACTTCTACTAACGTTAATTAATAGGTCTGTTTATATATATTAGCCAACCCCATGCTACCTGCATGATAGCTTAGTTCTTTGCAGGCTTCCAATGATGAAATTGTACATCCGTACTTGCTACCTAGTACTAAGCCGTGCTGAAGTGTTTAAATCAATAACAACTGGTAGTGATGCCGAGTCTATAAAACCTGATAATAGATGGCAGCACGAGTACAACTTTGTGGTATTTCAGGCGCATACTTTTGCAGCCACTCAAATATATTGCAAGATAAATGACGGCTACTTAATTTATGTTTGATCGATCTAGAAAGAATAAAAATCGTCAGTGGGATGAAGATAATGTCAATATTATCTATATTTCATGTCTGGATAAAACAGATTATCTTTACTCTTAATGTAAGGACAGAACCTGATTTCCAAATTTCATGCGTATGATGCCAATAACTATGTGAGGTCAATGTTGAAGATTTATATAGTTTTTGTTAAGGTTAGTAGTATTCAGTGTAAAACATGCGATTTGCTACTTTACTTCATGTTGACAATTGGATTTTGTATTCTACTACAAGAAAGAGCTATTACTAGTATGAAGAATAGCTAAGATTAAATATTGACAATCAGTATACAACCTATAACTCCTGAGTGCTGATAAACCCATGCATTGTTTGCTAAGAAGGCGTCATTGTCAAGGGCACTATTGGTGTGACCTGCCAAGATGCATGCTGATGTCCATTCTAATTTGAATGGTTAAAGAACTTAATTTACTCAGAGTAAACATCAAGTTATCTTTCCGTAAATAATTACAGATAACAGGAGTAACTCACAATGGCTCATTGTTTATGTTCTATATGTTCATATGAAACATATTATAATTTCTTTCGGCTAGTAGCAAAGTAAATCTGGAATGACAACAACTAGTTGCATAGTAAAAGCCACGATAATGTTAAATCATGGCTTTTATAAATGCTCATAATCTATTATGTTGATTTTGTAAGTTTATAAAAGGCCACAACTCCATCCCTTGCTCATTGTAACAATCCATTGTAATTTCTTGCTATTACAACAAATAAGGAAGGTGAAGGTGCCGTACGCGTTTGCTCACACGCACGCATGCACGCACTCTCCCTGCTTCACACTCTGCGAATACATGCGGATCGCCTAAAATATAGGTGTAGTGGTGTACGGGTGTGAAAGTTTGCACTCATATTTGATACAGGTGCAAAAACACTCCCCAAACGATTCAATCACCGTGTTCTCTGAATACACAGATTATAGTGAAAGGGTGCTATACAGTTGGGTGCAGTAGACACACAGCAATATTTTAAAGTAAGCAAACAAAATAATATTGTCCTCTTCATACTTCTTTACCATTTATATCCGCTGACGGGAATTGACTCTCGCGCACAGTACATAAATCTCGTTTTATTTATTTTATTTATTATCAGTCAACTGCTAGTATTGGTTTTGCGCGTTTGTTTGTTGAAAGCCTACGTTACAGCGAAATTGCTCCCAGTATGTGTTTGTTTTGCCTTTGTGTGAGAGTTATTTATTACTATGAGCTGGCTGCAGTGATGCCTTAATATTGTTTAGGGCAATAGTTATTACTGGAAACCAGAAAGCACAAGGGTCATGGGTGAAACAGCTGCGCAGAATTCGAGGTTTTTCCCCCAGATCTTTAGTAGTCGTTCTGCGAATAGTGGGTGAAATTTTGTTTCTAATTTAAGTGTGTACTGGTGTACACTTTGTTTGTATCACTCGTTTTCATTATGCTCATATACATCGGTATAATTATCAATCAGGCTGTAAGTCTAAAAAGTTATCTTAAAACAATAATGTGACTAATTACGATGTCATTATCGGATATTTTTCCAGTGCTATAATTGTTAGGGCATACTTTGTACGTATAAATCGCATGCTAACCAAAACAAACAAAAATGACAGTGTAAGTATGTGGATTTATTACACTATTTATCTTTTCCAGTTTTTAGTAGTGCAACCCTTTATTATATTCTGATTATGTTTATTCGGACAAATATCGTTTAACAAGATGTATAAGAAATCATTTTGTATAAAACCATTTACCATGCAAAAAAAACATCGTAAAAATAACAATTTTCGAAAACGCTGCGATTGCCACGAAACACAGACACGCCAGCCAATGTCAACTCGAAAATTGATTTCGGGAAAATGACTGCCTGCATATCGTTCGTTTTAACAATATCTCGTAATTAATTAAGCAAACTAGGAATGGCATTTCGGCATCTACTTGTTATTGATCGTTGACAGCAGCGGCGCGGGAGTAATCATGCAATAGAGTGGTTCCTGATCGGGCATGAGAGTCGAGCACGTCTAGCAGGCCCCGGGGACGCTGCCACCCCGCTCCCAGTTTACCCTCCTCATCATTCTGTCGTCTCTCACTGTCAGGACCGATGGATGGGGCCGCTCGTGGGCAAACATTGCCGTGATTGTCCCGTGTCGCAAGCAGCGAGAAATTACTGCCGGCATTTCTTCGCAGCGGTTATGATAACCAGCGGTTTGTTTGTGTTTGTTAACAACGCAACGCGGCCGCCGAACGTGGATTGGCATGTTCCGATCTTGCCCACGTCCGGTTGAAAGCAAACATCCTGTTGGTACGTTGTGTGACAGGACTGCAGCTATGATACGTGTCGTACAATGTGTTTTATTAATGATGGTTATGATGATGTTTAGTTTTATGTGAGCTGGGTGCGGGTGACACTGGTGCTGAGCGTGGTGTAAGGGATGGTAGTGAGGGTATATGTTTATGTTCCATGGGATTTGTATTGAATAAGATGGTTTTGCAACCTTAAGTCTCTTGCCTCTAATATCATATATAGCTAAAGTAATTGACACCTATTTTAAGCATACTTCTAACGTTACTGTATACTTATCCAATAATACAAAATGGGGGGGGGGAAATCCTCTCATACGAGGGGATGTATATCCCTCGTTACTTGGATCTCACTCCTCTGCAACACATATATCAAGTTTCTTGACCGAAATTCTCTGAAGAGCAGTGGAAAGCTAAAAGCAACGCGCCGTCATTTTCACAAATAATTCATTACAGACACGTGTAGCTATATAAGCTACTCTGATAACTACGCGCATCTTAAACTGAAAAGGAAGCCAAGCAAATGCAGCGCAGACCAGCCTGGCCGTGAACACACTCGTATAACACGGGCGATAAAGTGGAAAATCAAGCTTAATTCCGACACACTCATCGACGAGCCAATCGCGCGTTCCTGATTTAGATGATTATTTATTTACTTATTCGATCTCACTGTCGTGGAGTTGCGCTCGCTTACGTCGCGTGTACAATCGGAAGGCTGGCCTGCTATGTGAAGAAAGCTGCGGCTGGTGGCAGTGAGAATGCTGAGGGTCCGCTAGCGATCGGTGGATCCTTGTTATTGTTCGCTGTTTATTTTTCTTACTGATTATTGTATGTAAATTCGGCACTCAACGGCAGCTGACGGCTTTAGCTGGAGCGCGGCATTTGCATATCGGTAATCGCCGTTGTAAGGCGTGTGCGCGGGGCGGCACAGATGCTGCTGCCGCGCTGCAGCGCGTGCTAGGCTGCTGCTAGTGCTAGGCGGCTGCTGGCTGCCGCACGCGGCACCGCGCCGTGTTGCTTACTGCCATCGTGCTACCGCCGCACACACACACACGCACGCACGCACGCACGCACGCTGTGTGTGTGTGTGTGTGTGTGTGTGTGTGTGTGTGCGCGCGTGCATGCGTGCGTGTGTGGATGCGTGCGTGAGTGCGTGTGCGTGCGTGCGTGCGTGCGTGCGTGCGTGTGTGGATGCGTGCTTGCGTGCGCGTACACACGCACACACGCACGCATGCACGCACGCGCACACGCACACATGCACACACACACACACACACACACACACACACACACACACACACACACACACACACACACACACACACACACACAC